CATCAAGTTGATTGTGGGGTTTTAATTCACTGCTCCTGAGGCTGCTGGGAGAAATTTCCCTTTTTCTTCTTTGTTCGTACACCTCCTGGGGTTGAGCTTTGGATTTGGCCCCAGCTCTGTGTGTAGGTTTCCCTCAGGCATCTGTTCCCACCCAGACAGGATGGGGTTAAAGCAGCGGTTGATTAGCGGGCTCTTGCTCATGCAGGCCAGGGGGAGGGAGGTGTACGGTAGTCATAATTGGAATGCAGGGTGACGCTGCGGCAGCATAGGCTGGCATGACATTGCAACAGCCTGAGACTTGCTGTGTTTTCTCCCAGGGAATTTGTCCCTGGATCACAGGACCCTGGCAGTGGCGGGCCGACCAGGCTCCTGGGAGGGGAGGTGTGGATAGTGACCTGTGCTTGCACACAGGCTTCTTGGTGGCTGCAGCAGCAGCCTTAGTGTCTCATGCCCATCTCTGGTGTCCACACCGAGCGGCAGCTTGTGCCCATCTCTGGAGCTTGTTTAGGCCATGCTCTGAATCCCCTCTCCTCGTGCACCCTGAAACAATGGTCTCTTGCCTCTCTGGCAGGTCCAGACTTTTTCTCAGACTCCCTCCCAGCTAGCTGTGGTGCACTAGCTCCTTTCAGGCTGTGTTCACACAGACAACCTCAGTCCTCTCCCTGGTGTCTGACCTCCGAACCGGAGCCTCAGCTCCCAGTCCCCACCTGCCCTGGCAGGTGAGCAGACAAGCCTCTCGGGCTGGTGAGTGCTGGTTGGCACTGATCTTCTGTGCAGGGATCTCTCTGCTTTGTCCTCTGCACCCCTGTTGCTGCGGGCTCCTCTGTGGCTCTGAAGCTTTCTCCCCACATCCCGCGTTTCCACCAATGAAGGGGCTTCCTAGTGTACGGAAACTTTTCCTCCTTCAAAGCTCTCTCCCAGCAGTGCAGGTCCCATCCCTATTCTTTTGTCTCTGTTTTTTCTTTTGCCGTACCCAGGTACATGCGGAGTTTCTTGGCTTTTGGAAAGTCTGAGGTCTTCTGCCAGCATTCAGTAGGTCTTCTGTAAGAGTTGTTTCACATGTAGATATTTTTTCTGATGTATTTGTGGGGAGGAAGGTGATCTCCATATCTTACTCCTATGCCATTTTGAAGGTCCCCTCCTTTTGCTATTTTTAATTAGGGTTGAAAGCCTTTCAATGATTTGTCATTTATAATTTTCCCTTTAAGTTGCTTATTATTTACTGTTTTTCTCTATCTACTTTTGTCTATACCGTGTTAAACACTTATTTGAAAGACCTTTTTATATAACGAGCACATTAGCTGTTTGTCACATATTGTAAATACTTACTCCAGTTTAACATTTGCTATTTAATTTTGCTTATGGTGTTTTCTTTTTTATTTTTATGTGGAGAAGTTTATAATACTTATGTTGTCACATTTCTCTTTTTTTCTCTCAGGGATTTACCTTTGTACGTATCCTTAGAAAGTTCTTTTCCACACATATAATGTATGATCTTACTTATATGTGGAATGTAAAATTTGCTTTTTGCAGAGTGAAATGCACTCAGAGCAAAAATGTAGGTAGAGGATGGAGTCAGGTGGTTCTGGGTTCAATTACAATCTCTGTCACATAATGGCTAGATGACCCAAATCTAACTGTCAATTTTTCCACCTTTAAAATGAGAACAAATATAACTACTCCATGAGTTAAGAGGAGTAAGAAAATATACATGAACTCGTGGTATAATGCTGGCAATATGTAGGTCTTGTATTCCCTTCCATACTCTCACAAATTCACTATTTCCTTTATTAAAAAACATTTCCTTTCAGCAAAGATTGTGGGATGCTAATATTAAGTTTTTGTAGTTTTTATAATCACAGTCTGAAAAAAGCTTTGTTTAAATGACTGTAATATGTGTTAATGTCTGAAGTGTTCATTTAAAACAATTTCTCTTTTATATGAATAAATAAAATACTTTTGTTATGAGGAACTGCTAAAATATGTTTTTGGCTAAAAATGTAGCATTGTTATATTTAGAGAAACATTTGGCTAACACTAATAGTTATATGTGTTTATTTCATAGAGAGATGCTTCATGTCAGTCAACATAAGATACAGAGTAAAGGCAATTACAGTGGAAGCCATTTGTAGAATATATATTGTATAATTTCATTCCTATTTATACAGCAGATTAAACATAATCTGCTTAGTATAGTACCATGCACCAGGTATTCCATGCCTATATCTTGCATGTGATAAAGTGGGTATGAAAAAGACTTTTGGAGCTATGATATTGGAAAGACTGGTGAAGTTCCAAATAAGTGATAGCTTTTTTTCTGACAGTAAGAGAATTTGTAAATTATTGCAGTGAACTCATTACTCTTCTCTTAAAATTAAAATATATAGTGAGATCAGCTCTGAGATCAGCTCTGGGGAATCAGGTTTATAGTACAGTTGTGATCTGGTCATGATGACAGGGTGGTACTACTTGTCTATAATTTTCAGTACATAATAAAGGCTAGTTTATGATGGAGGAGGTGCAGACATTGAGGAAGGATTCAAGAGACAAATGATAAAATTAAGGGCTAAGCTAAGGTCCTGGAGTTTCCATAAGACTGTGCATTAAGTGGCAATTCCAAGAACACCCGCCCAAGATTTTCATCCTAAGAAGCTTGACATGCTTCCAGGCCTGTCAATGTAGTTATTTCTGTCAGAAGAAGGCCAGCTGTGTATGTGCTGAGTGTAGGCTCATTAACAGACTTAAGGAGAAAATGACAGGTTTTGACAAAAGCCAGTCTTTGTTCTTGTTAACAAGATGTGAAGGAAAGTTCCTAATAGAAGGGAAAAAAAAAACAAGACAACAGGAAACCAGGAAATGTTAGACTTCGATAACTTTGAAAGCTTCAAGTCCTCTGACAGTAGGATGGAATACCACTAATAGCTAACATTTATTGTGTTTATCATGTACTGGTTTCTGGTATAAGCACTTGACATAATTATTTTACTTAATTGATTAACTTACAAGCACCCTATGGGGTAGATATATATATATTTTTTTTACAGAGGAGAAAATGGAGGCTCAGAGAGTATAAATAACAGGCAAAAAGTCACACAGCTACTACCTGGCAGAGCCTGGATCTGAAGGCAGCGTGACTAGAGCCAGAGCCACGTCTGTGAGGCAGAGAAAGAGGAGCAAAGGTTTGACTGGAGCTGGGTCTCCTCCTACCACTGGCACCATCATCGTTGCTAACATTGTTGCTAACTGAGAGCTCTAAGCTCTGTGCTCTCTCTCCATTAGCTCCCTCTTGGAACTAGAGAAGTGCTGTGATTGTCCCATTTTACAGCTGAGACACAGTGAGTCACAAGGCGGTTGGTTGACTCACCAGGGTCATGGTGCTTGTAGGTGGCAGAGGGGACACATATCCAGACAGTTGGGTTCCAGAATCCACACTCGTATGCTTGATTATATCCAGAATATTTACAGAAGAAGTGTATGTGGGAGCAAATGACAACAGTTTTTGATGACCCCCAACAAGGTCTCTGTTTCATTGAGTGGAAGATGTGCTTTCTTTCACATTTATAAATTTACCCATTCTTTTCTTTGAATATAATGTTTTAAAAACTCATTGATTTGATTTGCCCTTCAGATGATCTCCTGCAGTGAAAGAACTGTTGAGCATTGAGCATAGAGCCTTAATATGCTTTAAACTATTCTTTAAGACACTCTTTTGAGAATCAGCACGGATTATATATTCAAAGAAAAAGTTTCTTTGAGAGTCTTGGCAGAATGAACTAGTTTTACTGGAAACTGACCTTGTATTATGTTGGATTAGCTGTGTTGTTTTCATGTTTCAAGTACATGGCATCCTGCATCTGTGTTTAGGCAGAAGTCAGTGGGGGTGGGGAGAATGGGGTTGCCAGGCAGGCAGAGAACTCAAGTGCCCCAAATGCATCACATCCTGGTCCCTAAACCTGGGCTCCTGATGGAGAGTAGGCTGGTCATGGGTGAGTGGCTTAGGACACTACAACGAGCAGCCCCCTGGCCAAATATTTTGGGACTAGGAGCCACCAAAAAGCTTATTTTCACCAAATGTATTGTTATAACAATTCAAAACATGCCTTTATGTGATAACTCCACTATGAATCAGCTTTATAGGGAAGGTCTGAGTCTATGTTCCTTTTTGAACACAGGAGACAGGCTATGGCAATACGATTGCTTGTCCAAGTGTGGTGTTTTCTCTTAATCCCCTTGACCTCTGGTGACCTCCGTGGGCCATATCTTCATGGTGTGGATAGGTGGCAGCCATCTGTCCATCATCTTTTATTTCAAGTACATTCCAAAGTTAGATGGAGTTTCAATTTTTACTGTGACTCCATGAGGTCTACCCTACTTACTCTATATTAAAAAGCACCCTATTTAAAAATGACACACAGGGCTTCCCTGGTGGCGCAGTGGTTGAGAGTCAACCTGCCGATGCGGGGGAGATGGGTTCGTGCCCCGGTCCGGGAGGATCCCACATGTCGCGGAGCGGCTGGACCCGTGAGCCATGACCGCTGATACTGCGCGTCCGGAGCCTGTGCTCCACAACAGGAGAGGCCACAACAGTGAGAGGCCCGTGTACCGCAAAAATGACCCACAATCCTGACCCCCCCATATCATGCTCTACGTGTCCTTTTCCCCCCACATAATTTATTACCTTATACTACTATATAGTTTGTTTATTTACTATATTTAGTGTTTATTGTCTGTTCCCGCCTTTATCCAACTGGAATGTAAATTCACGAGTGCAGGAATCCTAGTTTTGTTCACTGAAACACCCTAACACCTAGTACATAGGTAGTTAAGTGATTAATAAACAGTGAATGAATGTTTTCCATTAAAATCTAACTGATCAAGTCTGATTAGAAAGCAATCCTCACTGCTGGTTTTAGAACTAGAAATATACTCTTTAAAAGTTTTTTTTCTTTTCTCAAATTTTGAGACAAGTAGGTATAGTGTAAAATCCGTCCATGTCTTACCTTGAAAGCCATTTTTAAAATCGGCTCCATTCGGTAGGAGATCTGGAGTGTATTCACTGTAGCCACCTACATAAAACTGACTGAAGACATTGAGACCAACCAGTTTTCCTGGAGAGATGATGGATTTATTTTGCTGATCATCTACCTTCAAAAGGAAAAATATTCAAAGCTTATTAAAAAAGAAATTGATTCCCCAGGGTGAACTGTTAAGATACTCTTTCGTTATTTCCCATTAACTTGGCATGAAAACTTACACACACCTGAATTTTGAAGAACTCATAAACACTTTACCACTTAATTCTCTGCTTCTCCGCTGGTGTCTGTTACTATGATATAGCTAGCAGTCATGGTTCTGCATCTCAATCAACATCACAGTTCTTCAAAGATTAGGAGCTCGCAGCCCGTTGGGTCTCCTCCATCTGGCCTTACCTCCCTCTCATATCCATTCTCAAATGACCACCAGTCATTTATCAGCAAATGGAAACTGACCATGGCACCCAGCCCCCTTCTTAAATTTCTTGGTAGCTCTCCACAGCTCTCCATATGCAAATCTAAACTATTTAGATAAGTCCTTTGATGATACAGACCTTGTCTCCCTCCAGCCACACCTTTCACTTCCCTCACCTAAAAACCACCAAGAACTACTGGTGTTCCTTAAGCCCACGCTTGCCATGCTTCTTTTTCTGAACTGCTATTTACGCCAGTGTCACCTCTTTTGAGAAGCATTCCCTGAATCCTCTCTCTCACCTTGTTTATGTTAGTCATCCTCTAATTTATCCCCACACCACTTAACTGCAACACCCCCTAGTCTTCTATTTTGTGTGCTAGTCTGTGAAATTCATGGGGGCAGGTGGCCCGGCTCTTTCACCTCTGTCCCTCAGCACAGATCTGATAATACAGCAGCACGCAGTAAGATTGTGGGACAGATGGAGGGATGACCCTTTACCTTCAGCCAGCCTGCTCGGAAGGACCTCCCCAGAAGGACCGTGTGGATCCCATGGCTCAGATCGAGGGGATCGCTGCTGACACTTGCTGTGCCAGACCCCAGGTTGTAACTGTAAACCACGCGGCCGCTGCGCAGACCCACGGCCAGGAAGTCATCACCACTCAGCCCTGGAAGGAGAAAAGGCAGAGGGAAGGCCCACTGAGAGGAAACCCAGGAGGCTAGGCAGCTGCTTCACCCTCTGGCTCTGAGTCACAGACCCGAACAGTGAGTTATAACCCACACGTAACTTCTCATCTGCACTCAGGTGTGTGTGGAACTGCGTATTATTATCCAAACCCACAGACTGTCTGAGAATGAGGGTTCTGGCCAACCCGGAGGAATGCTCAATAACTAAAAAGTGGGAATTAAAATGTCCTTCTTGTCTAAATGAAATTAAGTGTGTACTTCAGCATAATTAGAACTTCACAGTGGAGTAAAAAACTGCTTTGGTACTGAACGAGATTCAAATGATTGAGATAACCTAGCATCAGCTTTGAATTTCTCTCTGTGGTTTGAGGCGAGTATAAAGAAGATTTCTTTCTATAGTTGCAGAGTGTGTTCCAATTGTTCTGTTGCAAAAGCTCTCAACCACACCCTCATGACTACTTCAAGGCTAGCTGTTTCTGCATTCCCTATTTGCCCTCTCCCTGCCCTAGTCCAGGGCCATTCATGCATCACACCGAGTTGCAGAACCCTGAACACTCAGGATGCAGCTCATAGGGACCCATGGGGAAGGGCAGGTGGTTGGGAGAGTCCTGGTATCGGGCACTAAGGGAAGATCCTGGAAGTAGGTTTGGTGGCTTTAGGAATGTCTGGGATGGTCAGTGGTGTGGGTCCTTGCAGATGGGCAGTACACACATAGGTTAAGGCAGAGCTTCTAGAGCTCGATGGGGGCAAGAGGTCTATGGACAGCATAGAGAAAATACATCACCCCGTTTCTCAAAGGTGTGTTTGTGGACCTTAAAACTGAAGCTCGCTGGTCATAGAATTGAGGCAAGGACTTCTGCTTGGAGGAAGAATAAGGACCCCATAGAAGTAAGAAGTTTAATCACAGGGCAAAAAGCAGAAGTGCGTCCTTGGATGTGGGCAAATTTGGGTGTGTACAGCACCCCACTGCATTTCTAAGGGTGATACCTTGTCTGCTTCCTCGGCTTCTCTTGGTTGTTAGGCTGATAAATGTAAAGGAGAGGAAAAAATCTGCAGGGCTGCGGTTTCCAGATAATGTAAGGAGGTGGGTTTCCTAAAGCACTTGAAAGCAGAAGACTGAAGTATTACTTAGAGATGCTTGAACTCTGCCTCTGCCTTTTTCATGGGTCTGCTGTGAACCCTGAGCTGGGTTATTTTGGAAGCGCCTTATGTGAGAGCCGTTGTGAAGCATGTCGGGAACTTCCAGCAAATCTCTCTCTCTCTCTCTGGTGATTTCTTCCCACCTGCAGTGCTGTGGCAGGTTAGCTGGGCTGAGAATTTAAAATAGGGAGAACTCTCAGGGGAAAGCATACATTCAGGAAGGCAGTTAGAAAGGAGAGAAATCACCCCTAGAGGCTGGAGGCAATGTCTCAGGAGGGTGTTGGAGTGCAGACGGGAAAAGGGGTGGGGGAGAGAAGGGGACAGCAGGGTCCTCCTGTGGCTGCGAATGGGGCTCTTTGAGAGATTTTAGCGGCATCTGAATCGTCTTTGCAAATTGTTCAGGATGTTGGGATGGAGATGGTGTCCTGTGGACTGAGCTGGTGGTGGGAAAGCAGATCTACCTGAGCCTCACCCTTCTTTCCTTCCCGACCTGTTGCCATTCCTCTGTTCTGAGTCCCTGGCAGCCCATTTCATGCCAGGAACAACTTTACCCTCAAAGTCCTCACAGGGTTGGCTCAGGTGCCATGGGAAGTGGAGGAGAAGCAGCAGAGCGTCGGGGACAGTCATTGTAACAGTATGGGGAGATGGTTAGGGCAGTTACAAGGAGGTGATTTTGAATTGGTTTCTGAGCTAACCCATAAAACGACCCAAAAGAATTTGCTGGGTGGGTGAGAAAAGGGGGGATGCAGAAGACGGATGTTCGAAGCTGAGGAAATAACTTTGCAAAACCCCAGGAGGGGCAAGGACATGGTATCCTTAGGGAGCTTCTGGGAGCTGGGTGGGGATGGCGTTAAGTGCATGTGTGGGAAAGAGACATGTACTTAAGGGCCTCTTATACTGCAGTGAATGGTTTAAATATTTTACTGGAGACTCTTTTTTTTACAGGAGCCATGAAAGGAGTTTGAATGAGAGAATTACATTAGATATGGCCTTTAGAGGACTCTCATAGCAGAGGTGCAGATAGAACTCAGAGACAGATAGTGAACCTCATTGGAAGGTCATTTAAGTGACTCAGGAGAGGAAAGATTAACGTCTAAATAGATCAAGGCAGTGGCAGAGGGGACAGATAAAAGGGGAGGAATTTGTGTGTGATTTGGAAAGAAACTTTGAAAGGATGGGTCCATTTGGAGTGCAGAGTTGAGAAAGAGGGAGGAGTTGGGGGCGGTTCTGAAGAGTCTGGTTTACAGAGCTGGGGGTGGGGAATGGCCGGAGCCTGGAAAGGAGGGTCTGGGAAAGGAGGCTGACTCTAGTTTATAGATGCTTCTGCCCACAGACACATCCCAGGGTGTAGACGTGGAGATGCACTAGGAGGCAGGGATAAGGAGAGCCAGGGAGCAAATCAGACCATGAAGCAGATGACAGAGTTGTATCTGCAAGCCATGGGTCTATTAGGGTTGCCTCTGCCACTCCTAATCTGGACCTCCCCTCAGCACCCTGGTGGTGATGACAGAGTAGATAAGGAAAGAAAAGCAGCTGACTACCAGGGCTGGTGCTGGGAAGGTGAACAGTATTTTAGGGACTTCGGATTGCTCTGAGGTGGTGTTTTGCAAACCAGGAAGTCCATCACGATCACTCAGGGAGCTTATCAAAAATACAGATTCTAGAAGCTACCTTATACGACTTGTATGAGAATCTTTGAAGCTAGGTTCTGGAAATATTTCTTTTTTTAATAGGCTTCCCATCTGTTTATGAAGCCTGACGGATGTTAATAAATTTAGGAGGGCCGGGGCATGTGACCTGTGCTGTCACACAGGGCTTTGTGTTCAGAAGGGCTTGATTGAATGCTCCACTGTCACTTCTTGAAATTCTTTGAACTGTGCTGTGAAAATGTCCATGAGACAACAGAGCATAAGCTGGAACACAGGCACACACACAACATGCATGTTTGTTGTTTCTTGCCACCCCATTCATATGTAGTGTTTGTGACGTCTCATGAGAAGAGAATTCCCCCACAACTGGGATGTACTTAGGAGCTGGTGATGAGAAGGAAGGAATTAGAGTAATTATGCTGCAAGTAGTAAAAGAGGGAGGAAGGAACGATGGGAGTTAACTTTAGATGAAGAGCAGTTAAGAGTAACAAGATCTAGGAAGTGAATAAAAATACTTTTAGAATGTACAGAAAAAACCCAACACAAATTTGGTCTCTTTCTGGCTAGGAAGAAGAGAGGTAACTCAGTTCCACAAATACTGTTAAGCAGAGAGCTTTGAAGGGGTTGTGTTAATGGTGAGTTGTAATTAACATTATAACAACTCATGATACTGGTTAGAGGAAATTTCATGGGTGAAGATGAGATGCTGAGGCCAGAATAGCATCTGGCCTCATCATAGGCAGAGACCAGTGGAATGGAAGCAAGAGCTTCATCTAGGTGAGGAGAGGGATAGTGGCGAGGGCAACGACGATGGAGAATGGAAACAAAGTGAAGGATGCTGCCTTGACATTTTGGAAGAAAAGATCAAAGAGGTTGAGACAAAGAGTTGCCAGGTCACTCGAACCTTCTCATATGGTCCTTAGAAGTGTGTGGTGCACTAGGGATGATGGTGGTGAAGGTCATAGATTCTAAATATATTGTATAAAATCTTGGGAAGGAAAATAAAACACTTGTGTCACAGGCATGTGGTTATAATTCAGTTCATGGCATTTTGTTCCTAAATTATTTAGAAGAGTTTATTGGATTTGTTTGTTTGTGGTTTGTTTCTTCTACTATTTATATCAGTCGTTCTCCAACCTGGCTGGACCTTTTTTTTTTTTTTAACATCTTTATTGGAGTATAATTGCTTTACAATGGTGTGTTAGCTTCTGCTTTATAACAAAGTGAATCAGTTATACATATACATATATCCCCATATCTCTTCCCTCTTGCATCTCCCTTCCTCCCACCCTCCCTATCCCACCCCTCTAGGTGGACCCAAAGCACCGAGTGATCTCCCTGTGGCAGGTTCCCACTAGCTATCTATTTTACATTTGGTAGTGTATATATGTCCATGCCACTCTCTCACTTTGTCCCAGCTTACCCTTCCCCCTCCCCATATCCTCAAGTCCATTCTCTAGTAGGTCTACATCTTTATTCCCGTCTTGCCCCTAGGTTCTTCATGACCTTTTTTTTTTTAGATTCCATACATATGTGTTAGCATATGGTATTTGTTTTTCTCTTTCTGACTTACTTCACTCTGTATGACAGACTCTAGGTCCATCCACCTCACAACAAATTACTCAATTTCGTTTCTTTTTATGGCTGAGTAATATTCCATTGTATATATGTGCCACATCTTCTTTATCCATTCATCTGTTGATGGACACTTCCATATTCTGGTTATGGTAAATAGTGCTGCAATGAACATAGTGGCACATGCCTTTTTTGAATTATGGTTTTCTCAACTCAGGGTATATGCCCAGTACTGGGATTGCTGCGTCATATGGTAGTTCTATTTTTAGGTTTTTAAGGCACCTCCATACTGTTCTCCATAGTGACTGTATCAATTTACATTCCCACCAACACTGATTTAATCCACAAGCATGGACAGGAAGGGGAAATCTATTATATAAGAGGGAGGAAGGGTATAAAAGGTTTCCAATAGTAAGCCCAGGAAAAATGATGCAGGTCAGTTTGACCTGAAGGAAAAAGAGAGATACAAAACAGAGAGAGAAAATAGGCAGAACAGTGCAACAATCCTTTCTGCCTTAGGGTAATTCTAGTGGAGTTCTTACCAGAAGAAACATGCAAACTAAGTAACAGTAATTAGAGATGGTCTAATTAGCTTCACCCGGAAAGAAGGCCTGGTG